TTGATCTTAACATATTGAATAAAGAGAGCAGTTAATCCCTTTTGTAAAGTAATTTGAGAGGAGGGAATTCAAAATGTAAAATCTCACCTGCAGAAAACACTCAACTCTGTAAAGGCCTTTTATATCTTTAGACACTTACAAAGACTTAATATTTTAATGCGGAAGGGTGAACTTGGTTAAAAAGCCAATGAGTGAAATTAGAGAGAAATAATCCAGTGCTTTCTTTCTGGGAATTATCTTCCTGCTCTCCAGGGGACCTAATTTTGTTCCCTCTGGGGAATGAGAATACCCCCTCTGTATGGCAAGCCAGCATCTCTAAATATAAGCTTGACTTTTGGTATAATAAGAGTCTTGTTAGGTGTAATTTTCCTCTTAGTCATTAATACAATGAACAAATGTTGTGGTTACCTGGGAAAGAAAATTCAAGTGCTTTTAAACCTCTTGTGAGATTGAGTTTCATGATTGAAACCTATACACTGTTATGCCGAATAGCATCTGTAGAAGATTCCAAGCTATAAGGTGTACAGCATGGAGAAGTTAATACACGTAGGAAAAAAATTGAGACCACTATAAATGGATTTCAGGGCTTGAGTAAAAAGCCTTTTTTTTTTTTTATGATGAACGACATTTTGCTTTCTCACTTTCCTTTTCTCTCTGTCTCTCTCTGGTCAACTTCAAAAAAAATAATAATGACAATAAAATTAAATAAATCTTTAAAAAAGATTTACTTATTTAATTCCTTTTTTTTTTTTTTTTAATTTGACCAGAGAGAAAGAAAGTGAGAAAGTAAGCCACCAGGTCCGGGATTCAAATTATGGTTGGTCATGTGGGAACCCAGGACCTTAAACACCACGCCACCTCAATTTTGATGAACGACAACTGCTTAGTAGCATTAAATTTAACAGCCACCCATTGGCCCCCTGGTATGTTTTTCAAGCTGTTGGTACTGCCACTCGAACTGTGCATTAGTCAGTGTGGGATCCAACCATCTTATCCACCATACCACCAGCTGACCCCATATTTTTCCTTTAAAAGGGATTCAGTAGGGACCAGCAGATGGCATAATGGTTACATTATACCACATAATTGATCACAGTTTGAGTCTGAGACCTGGCAGCTTGAAACTCATGCTAGGCGTGTGTGCATGCATGCCCAAAATCCCAAGGAGAGTGGAAGAGAAGGGATTGCGGCATAGCCAAACTCCTGGGGGGTGATTTCTCACTTTCTGTCTCTCTGTCTCTCTTTGTCTCTCCAGTGAGCACACTTGCCCTATGGTAAAAAAGCTCTCTTAAAAAAAAAAATGGATTCAGTAAAAGGTAGTAAAAATCTTTGTGGTTACTTTTTTTTTTCCAGATTTTTTCCAGTGACCACATGTGTGCCCATGCTTGTGTGAGAGACAAGCACCCACTGTAGAGTCTAGTTAGTCTGTGATCCCCTTTTTCCAGTCTCTTCCCTGTCAGACCTTGGGCATTCGTGTGTGCTCACTGCTGAACTGCCAGAGCTTTGAACCATAGTCACCATGTGGATTTAGCTACTCTTGAGCAGTTCGTTACTGTCACATCATGAAACCCACCATGCTTTGTATTCTTTTCAAGTTTGGAAGTTGACAGAAGAGGCCACAAGTAAGTAACCTTTGTGATCTTGCAAAAAAAACAAAGTCTCCAGAGTTTTTTTCCTTTTTTTTTTTTTTAATGCCAGATGCTACTCTCATCAGAGAGCATGTAAACCTTGCTTGAACCTATTCCTATCACAATCCCATTTCCTTCTTTTTTTGACCCATTAGGATCCATGTATACATGTGTCTGTCATGTTTTTTTTTTTTCCAAAGCAATGGGACCAGGACTCGAACCCTTCCTGACATGTGTGATCTGACTCCCTCCACTCAACCACTGAGCTACAGAGCGTGCCCCATAAGTCTTTTTTCTTTCCTTTTCTTTCTCTCTCTCTTTTTTTAAATACTGTATTTAAACTCAAAGCATTGGTCATTACTTTTTCAGTTCCTAAGCTTGCCTGCTTTTTGTAAAGCTCTGCATCAGCCTTGCCTACTGTGTGTGACTCTTAATTTCCTACTACCAGTGAAAGTACAGATATTACATTTTCCTTGCTCTTTATTTTTTTTGAGAAGTTTTTGCTATAGGGCGCGTGCGCTCACCAGACAGAGACAGACAGAGAGACAGAAAGCGAGAAATCACCCCCCAGGGAGGATGGCCACGCAGCAATCTGTTCTCCATTCTCCTCTCGGGATCTTGGGCATGCACGCACATGCGCCCGGCGTGAGTTTTAAGCCACCGGGTCCGGGACACGAACCGCGGTTGACTACATGGGAGTCCAGCGCACTAGCCATTACGCTAACTGCTGGTCCCCTTTTTAGTATTTTTTTAGAAGTTCTTTAAGAATAATGGTTTGAGGTCAGTAATGGTGGCTAAGGTGCTAGACTTCATGTGACTGACTACAGTTCAAGCCCCGGACCTGGAGGCTTGTGTGTGTGCCCAAAATCCTGAACGGAGAATGGAACAGAAGGGATTGCAGCTTGGCCATCCGCCCTGGGAATTGATTTCTCACTTTCCTTCTCACTGTCTGTTTCTCTCCAGTAAGCGCATACCATGGAAAAAACTTTTAAAAAGAACAATGGTCGTATTCATTTCTCTGAATATGCAAGATCTAATTTAGTCCTAATACAAGGTTGAGCCTCTCTCATTCAAAATGATTGGGCCAGAAGTGTTTTGATTTTGGATTTTTCAGCATTTTGATGATGTTAGTATTCAAAACATTTCAGACTTTGGATCTTTGATGTCAACATCTAACATAATATTTTGTCATATTTGTTATTTAAAGGGTTGGGGGACCAGAATATGGCATAATAATTACATTGCTAGACTTCCACATAGTCAACTGCAGTCAAGTCCTGGACCCAGTGGCTTAAAACTCATGCTGGGCGCTTGTGCGTGCATGCCTAAAATCCAAAGAGGAGACTGGAAGAGAAGGGATTACGGCGTGGCCATCCCTTCTGGGGAGTAATTTCTCACTTTCTGTGTCTCTGTCTCTCCAGCGAGTGCACACGCTCTATAGCAAAAATCTCTCTGTAAAAAATAAGTAGGTACGGTCTGTTTTCCCTGTAAGGACTATATTCTCAGGTATCAGCTAAACTGGATAACAGTCTGAGCTAGCCTTTACTCACTTGTGCTAAGTTGACAATTTTGCAGGTTACTGAAATAATATGGAAAAAGTTAATTATATTTGTGTAAATAACCTCAGGCAGAATGAGAATCAAAAGTATACATACAAATTTTTTTCTTAAGAGAGAGTTTTTGCTATAGGGCATGTGCACTCACTGGAAAGACGGAGACAGAGACAGCGAGAAATCACCCTCCCAGCAGGGATGGCCACGCTGCAGTCCTTTTCCTTCCATTCTCCTCTTGGTATTTTGGGCATGTACACACATACACACACACACACACACACACACACACACACACACACACACCTGCGTGAGTTTTAAGCCACTGGATCTGGGAAAGTACATCTGCTAGTCTCGCAAAAGTACATTTAAAAAGTATTCTAGGGCCAACCCCATAGCCTAGTGATTAAGTGAGCCAGATCCCACATGACTAGCCACAGTTCAGATCCCAACCGTAACAGCTTGAAAAACACAGAGGGCAGGCCCGGCAGGTGGCATAGTGGTTAAGGGTGCTGGACTCCCACATGGCTGACTACGGTTTGAGTCCTGGACCTGGTGGCTTGCTTTCTCACTTTTCCTCTCTCTCTCTCTCTCTCTCTCTCTCTCTCTCTCACACACACACATACACACACACACTCTGGTCAGATGAAAATAAAGTTAAATAAGGGACCAGCAGCTGGCATAATGGCTATGTCATTGGACTCCCAGGTGGTCAACCGCGGTAGGAGTTCCGGACCCAGTGGCTCAAACTCACGCTGAGCGTGTGTGCGTGTGTGCCCAAGTTCCCAAGAGGAGAATGGAGGAGAAAGGATTGCAGTGTGGCCATTTCCCCAGGGGATGATTTCTCACTTTCTGTCTCTCTGTCTCTTTCTGTCTTTTTGGTGAGCGCACACACCCTATAGCAAAAACCTCTCCAAAACAAAATAATAATAAAGTTAAATAAAATAATTCCTTAAAAAAAGAAAACACCGAGAGCACATGTGCATGTGTGCCCCCCAAATCCCAACAAGATGGAGAAATAGGGAGAAGGGATTGTTGTGACCACATGCCATTGTGGGCTTCTTTCTCCCTCTCTCTAGCAAGCATACCTACCCTCTGGCAATAAAAAAATAAATACATACTCTAGTGTAAATAATACTTTTTAAAAATAATTATTACTTTTTTTATTATTTTAAAAATTTGCTATAGGCATGTCCACTCATTTTGGGGTGGGGGAGGTAGTGGCATGAGAAAGGAAGCCGCCATATCCGAGACTCAGACTGCAGTCAGCCATGTGAGGGTCCATTGCTTTAACATCACACCACCTGCTGGCCCCAGTAGTCTTTTTTTAAGCAGCTAGCAAAGTTTTATTTTTGTTGTAGGTAAAATGTCATTTTAGTATTGGGATGTCGGGAAAGACATGGCTCATTTTTACGTAGAAAAATGCTTTCCTGACTACCTCATGACTTCACAGTTTTCTGGGCCACTGGTAGCATGCCATGCGGATCCCACGTGGCTGATTATGTAGTTTGAATTCTGGACCTGGTGGCTTGAAAAACAAGCCAGGTGCATGTGTACTCAAAATCCCAAGAGGAAAATGGAAGCGAGAAGATTGTAGTATGTCCATTCCTCTCTGGGGAGGTGCTTTCTCACTTTCCCTTTCTCTTTGTATCTTTGGTGAGCATACTAACCTATAGCAAAATTTAAATAAATAAATAACTTTATGCTTTTCTTATCTTGAGGTAACCAGGCTTACCATGTCACAGATTTAACAAATCTAATACAACATTTTTTTTCAATTCCCTTTATTGTGTTTCAACTTAAAATGACTTTTTTATTTTAGACAAATCTTCCCATTTTCAAGCTGAAGGAATCTACTGTTAGAAGAAGATACAGTGACTTTGAATGGCTGCGAAGTGAATTAGAAAGAGAGAGCAAGGTAAGAATTATTTGTAATGCAACTTTAAAGTAAATGTACCAAATTTTAATATATAAGACCACGTAGGAAAATTACCTTGATAAGATGGGTAAGCAGATGTTTTCTCTTTCCCAAATAGAGGGAAGAGTCTTTGTCATTTTTCCTTAGAACACTGACTTGTCTACTTTTAATGGTTGCATTGAGACCTTTGCTGACTCACACTGAAAAACACTTCTTAGAACCTTCTTGCTGTTACTTCCCTGTTTTTGTTCATCTTCCTACTCCACCTTCCCCTCTCCACACCCCTTGTTGAGTTTCTCTTCCTGTGTCAGTGTGTTTACTACTTTTTTTATTAAACACACATTTTTTATCATCACCCATAAGTATACATAACAAGTTTTTAAAAATTATTTTATTTAGCTTTATTTATTCATACATTTTTTTTTGAGAGGTTTTTCGCTATAGGGTGCGTGCGCTCACCAGACAGAGACATAGAGACAGAAAGCAAGAAATCACCCCCCAGGGGGGATGGCCACACCACAATCCCTTCTCCTCCATTCTCCTCTCGGGATCTTGGGCACACACGCACATGCTCCCGGCGTGAGTTTTAAGCCACCGGGTCCAGGACGCGAACCGCGGTCGACTACGTGAGAGTCCAGCGACATAGCCATTATGCTAACTGCTGGTTCTCTCATACATTTTAATTTGATCAGAGTGGGACAGAGAGAGGGAGGGAGAAAGAAAGTGAGAAAGCATACTGCCAGGTCCAGGATTCAAACCAGTTTTGGCCATGTGTGAATCCAGCACCCTTAACCACCATGTCAACTGCCAGCCCCTATAACAAGTTTTATAAAAGAAATATCTTATTCTATGTGATATTCTTCAAATTTGCTTTTAAATGGTAGCTGTGATCCACTGTTAGGGTGCTACCAGTATTTGAAAAACACTGTTACCATATACCTTGGTAAAAATTGTCTTTTCTTAGAAGAAAAGTGGGTTGGGCTGCAAAATAAATTGAAGAGAACAAAATCTCACTAGTGTCCCTCATTTCAGCCCTATGTTGAAATCAGAGGCTTAGAGTCATGGAAAGGCATGCTATGTTTAGAATAATGGGGACTTACTTTTTAGCTAATAAGTAGTAGAAAGCAGTTAAGTATGGTGGGAGTCCTGAAGTAGATGAAGGCTAGATTGTGCTCATTTCTGAAGCTTAATAAAAGGTAGAAGTGGAAGGAAATACCCTTAACCAGATCAGTGTGACTGGATATGAGAGTAACATATACAAATCATAGTTTTCCATCAAAAACAGTCTTGCTGAAAAAGAAAATCAAAGCATTGGGACCAGTAGTTGGCATAATGGATGCAGCTATGTTTCTGGACTCCCATACAGTCAACCGTGGTTCGAGTCCCGGACCCAGTGGCTTAAACTCACACCAGGCACGTGTGCATGAGTCCCCAAGATCCCGAGAGGAAAAGAGATTGTGGCGTGGCCATCCTCCCAGGGGGTGATTTCTTGCTTTCTATCTCTCTGTCTCTCTGGTGAGTGCATGCACCCTATAACAAAAACCTCTCCAAAAAAGAAAAGAAAAAATCAAAGCATAAAATGCTGGTCAGTGAAACTATAAATATAAAATGCATGTAAAGAAAATTCTAAAACTTCACTGAAAGACAGAAGAAGAAATACTGCATTCCTCATTTGCAATACTTCCTTTCTTTTTTTTTTTTTTTTTTTTTTTAACTTTTATAAGTTTTTGCCGTAGGGCATATGTTCTCGCTGGAGAGAGACAGAGAGGGACACAGTGAGAAATGACCCTCCCGGGGGGGTGGCCATGCCATAATCCTTTCTTCAGTCTCCTCTCAGGTCCTGGACTTGAACTGTAGTTGACCATGTATGAATCAAGCACCTTAACCATGCTACCCACTGGCCCCAGAATACTCACTTTTGAAGTATCATTTATTCTACAAACATTTGAGAGCTCATTCTATGTTCTAGGATGTACAGATAGAGTAAGTTAAGATAGAACAAATTAAGGTTCTCGTATGGTGATCACTTTTTTTAATTTAACTTTATTTATTTATTATTATTTTTATTACTATTGTCCAGTTAGATCAGAGAGAGACGGGGGGCGGTGTGTGGAAAGAAGTGAGAAAGTAAGCCGCCATGTCCGAGACTCGAACTGTGGTTGGCCACATGAAAGTCCAGCACCTTTAACCACCATGCCACCTGCCCGCCCCGTTAATCACCTTTTATTAAGTGAAAGTGGTGGTATGAGAAGACCAAAAAATTGATTAAAAAAAATAGATTAGTGGAATGTAATAGAAGTTGACTCATGTGTATATAGGGAATTTCATTCATAACAAAAATAGCATTGTCAGGGCCAGCAGATAGCATAGTGATTAAGGTGCTGGACTCCCACATTGCTGGCCGCAGTTCAAGTCATGGGCCCAGTGCTAGAAACTCACATTGGGCACATGTGTATGCACGCCCCTGAGGGAAAAATGGAGTAGAAGGGATTGCAGTATGGCCATGTCTCCTAGGCGGGGCGGGTGACTTCTCACTTTCTGTCTCTCTCCCCTCATCCTGCCCCCAACAAGTGCATGTGCCCTGTGGCATAAAAGAACTTTTAAAAATAATAATAATGACACTGTCAATAAGTGGAAGAAATAAATTCAGTAAGCAGAGTGGAGTACATCTGGATATCAGGGAATAAAGATTTATAACTTGCTGTATGCAAATTACTTATAGTTAGATCTGAATGTACAAAACAAGTTAGGAAAGTGTTGGGTAATGAATTTTTTTTTTAATAACCACACAGAAGTGTCTTGTTAAGCTTTGGACTTTGAATAGCATAGAATATCACACATTGAAATTTATTAAACATTCGTTCAATATATTACTTATTTATTTTAAGTAATGGTTTTATTGAGATATAATTCGCATATATATAAAACATCCATTTAAAGTGTACAAGTCACTAGTTTTTAGTATATTCACAGAGTTGTGCAACCATCTCTATAGTCACCTTCAGAATATTTTTATCACCCCATGAAAGAAACCCTGTACCCATTAGTAGTCACTGCTGATTTCTCCCAACCCCTGCTCTTTTAGTTCTAGGTAATGACTAGTGTACTTTTTCTGTGGATTTGCCTGTTTTGGACATACCATATAAATGGAAGTATAGAATGTTCAAGAAATCACCCCCCCAGGGGGATGGCCATGCTGCAATCCCTTCTCCTCCATTCTCCTCCTGGATTTTTGGGCACTCATGCACACACTCCTGGTGTGAGTTTTAAGCCACCTGATCCAGTACGTGGGAGTCCAGTGACGAAACGATTACACCATCTGCCAGTCCCACCCTGTATGTTTTTTAAGCTACAGGATCCAGGACTCAAACCACACAATCAGCTATGTGGAATCCAGCTGCCCCAATCTCCATGACACTAGCTGGTCTTGATGTTGATCATATTTTCATGTACTTATTAGCCATTTATGTATTTATTTTGGAGAAATGTTTATTCAGATCCTTTGCCTATTTAATTGATTTTTTTGTCTTTTTTATTACAGTTGTGTCTAGAATATATAAAACACTACTGTAGGTTCCTTATGAGATACATGGTTTGCCACAAAAATCTCCCAGTTTGTGGGTTGTTTTTCACTTTCTTGACTGTGTCTCTTGAAGCACAGTATTTCACACTTAAGATGAGGCTAGTAAACGGGGCCAGCTGGTGGTGTGGTGGTTAAGGGCACTGGACTCCCATATGGCCAACCGTTGTTTGAGTCCCAGACCTGGCAATTTGCTTTCTTACTTTCTTTCTCTTTTGTTCTCTCTCTCTCTCTCTGTCCCTTTCTGGTCAAATTAAAATAAATCAATAAAGTTAAATAATTCTTTAAAAAAAAAAAGGTGAGGCCAGTTAAATATCTTAGGGTAATGCAACCTGTGTGAAAATTTTAGTCACACTACAGTATCATTAAGAACAGTGTAATCAAGTTATTTTGTAAATAGTAATGCTTTTAACTATGATCTGCTAAACTAAGCTAAAAACCAGGTAACGTGTATTATGTTTACTGGTCATTACGGTTAAATCTTTCAGCCTTTATTCTAGTGTGCTTTGGCTTCAGTATATTGATACTGTGCTTGCCAGGTAGCCTAGCTACTTCTCAGTCTACATGCACTTACGGATGTTTGATTCATTACTTTTTTTTTTTTTAATTTGTTACAGAGTACATTCACTTACTAGAGAGAGAGATACACAGAGAAAGTTAGAAATCACCCACCAATGGGCATGGCCATGCTACAGTCCCTTCTTCATTCTCTTTTCAAGACTTTCTGCACTCGTACACATGCACCCAGTGTAATTTTTAAGCTCCTGGGTCTAGGACTCAGTACAGTCAGCCACCTGCTTAACATCCATGCCACCTGCTGGCCTAAATTCATGACTTTTAAATTTGTGTAAGAATTCTGGTTAGATCTATTCAGGCTGCTTAAGAAAAAAAAATTGATGTTGAAGAGGATCTTTGATGTCTTAGCTGGACATTGCATTCATATTTGTTCTCAATCTTGTTGCCTACAATTCACCATTGTTAAAATGACTGTTTTGAATATTGGGAGAATATATCTCTATGGGTGATAATATGTAGAAATCTTTTTCTTTTTTTAGATTTTATGCTCAATTCTACTCTGAATTAATGGCAATCATTTATTTAATACATTGGTTCTAGATTCCTTTTTTTAAATAATAGCTTTGTTGATACAGATGTTTTTCTCTGTCCACCAGACAGGCATTTTATTAGTACTCAGTGGTCAGGGTTCCTTTGTTTCTCAGTTGTGAGATCTCTATAGATTTTAATTCAACTTGACAAATGCTGGTATAGGGGAGAGATTCAAGAAAACTAAAGCAAACTTACAGAGATAAATTCTTAGGTATCTTAATCTTTGGGTACCTAGGGGTGAATAATTCTAAGAAATAAAGCTTGTGTTGGATGTTTGATTTTGTGTTTCTTTTTTGCTGCCTTTTTTTTTTTTTTTGAGAGTTTTTTGCTATAGGGCATGTGCGCTCGCCAGAAAGACGGAGACAGAGAGACAGAAAGCGAGAACTCATCCGGAGGGGTGTGGGGGGGAGGGATGGCCACGCAGCAATCCCTTTCTCCTCCATTCTCCTCTCAGGACCTTGGGCATGCATGCACACACGCACAGAGCGAGTTTAAGCCACCGGATCTGGGACTCAAACTGCGGTCGACTACATGGGAGTTCAGCCACATAGCCACATAGCCATTATGCTAACTGCTGGTCCTGCTGTTTTGTTTCTTTGCTAATCTATGTGAAGTTGAATTGATCTTTCCCTTTTTTACTCATTGTCTTGGGATAAATTCCTATGCCTAGAAACTGTAAGTTAAGGGTTTAAAACCTAAGTTTTTAGACTATGTATACTTTCTATTACTGGTGAAAGAAACACTTTTTTTTTTTTTAATTGCCAGAGGACACATATGCTTGCCAGAGAGAGAGTGAGCAAGCACCCCCAGTGGGACATGGTCATGTCTCATTTCTTTTTCCTCCATTTATCCATCCCATCAGGATTTGGGACATGAATACACACATGCCCAGCATGGTTTTCAAGCCACTGGGGTCAGGATTCAAACTGATCAGTCAAGTGGGATCTAGCTCCCTACACATAATTCCTAACCACTGTGCTACTGTACTAGCCTGGAATACTTTTTTATGTATCTGTTTACTATTTATATTTCTCCTTTTCTAATTATTTGCTTCTACATTTCTCTATTATGGTGTGAGATAAGGATCCAACTAAGTGATTGGTCACATAACAGACATTTCAGCTTCTGTTGTATTCCCAACTTTTCTTAAAATAACCACAAGAAACCCAAGATAGAGTCCTAGATTTCAAGACATTAATAGGATAAAATGGTTCTCCACCAGGCACACTTTTGTCCCCCAGGAAATATTTAACAATGTCTGGAGATAATTTTTATTCATGGTATGTATGCACGAGAGAGAAAGAAGCGCTCTTGTTGGGGTTGCTCATGCCACGATCCCATCTCCAGCCATCAGGGTCTTGGGCATATGTGCGTCCTATGTGTTTCAGGTCAGGCAGGCCTGGATTAAAACCAGTGGTTACCCATGTGCCTTCCAACACTGCAGTCCAGCATACCATGAACAGTGCCACTAGCTTGCGTCTGCATACATTTTTTTTATTGTCTCAATTGTGGTGCTACTGGGGTCTCATGGATAGAGGCCAGGAATACTGCCAAATATTCCACAGTGCAGAAGAACGACTGCCCCCCAGTACAAAGAATTACTGCTGATAGGATTGAGAAACCAACAGGGAAACCAAAAATAACCTGTAAAATAAAAATTGGGTCCTTGGAAAAGTCATGATGAATTTATCTGTGCAAAAATGTGTCATGACTTATCTAGCGACCTAGCTGAGTACTATTTAATTAAAACAAATACAGTACTAGAGCTTTAATAATTCCCAGAAGGACGAGAGCAACATGAGTTTGATCCTAGGCTATACTTTAAAAGGGGAGATTTGGAGGCTAGCAGATGGCGTAGTGGTTAAAGGCACTGGACTCTCACGTGACCAACTGCGGTTCAAGTTCTGAACCTGGTGGCTTGCTTTCTCACTTTACCTCTCTCTTTCATTCTGTCTCTCTCTGTTCAAATTTAAATAAATAAATAAAGTTAAATAAAATAATTCTTTTTCTTTTTAAAGGCGGGCCGGACCTGGCAGCTTGCTTTTTCACTTTTTCTCTCTCTCTCTCCCCCTCCCTCCTTCCCTCTCTGATCAGATTAAAACAAATAAATAAATAAAGTGAAATAAAATAATTCTTTAAAAGGGGGGGAGAGGAATTTGAAATGTTCCTATAGTGTGGAAAGGAAGACATGTTTCTTAGCCAAGGAAATGAAAGAGTGATGACAGATGATGATGTTGATAATTTTGTACTCACCTCACACACGTGTAGGAAAACTGTGTGCAGATAGTGAAAGCTTGAAGAAATCAAGGAATCTTATCTACCCATGTGGTAGAGGGAACGTTATTACTATCGTATTTCTTCATTTGATTTTAAAATTGGTATTGACTTTTACAGTTTTTATTGCAATCAGGCATTGTCTCCCCCAAATAGCATCAAAAGCGTCTGAGAGGCATGGTAACCTTTTATCTCAGTATTGTACATGTTTTCTTTGTACACCTGTGCTTTGATATGTCCAAGAAAAATGGTATAAGCTATGGGCCCTGCCTTTGAGCAGTTTGGGGTTGACAGCTATTCTGCATTTGGTTATCTTGCCTCCAAAACTTTGAGATATTTTTCAGTGTATGTTTTTTACAAATTCCTTTGTATACTTAAATGAGTTTGAGAATGGGATGGCTCGCATAGTGAAGATATACTTTGTCTTTATGTTGTACTCTCTGCCTTTCCCAACCCAGCCAGCATGATCAAGAACTTCCTTTGTGTCATTTTAGGTTGTAGTTCCCCCACTCCCTGGGAAAGCGTTTTTACGTCAACTACCTTTTAGAGGAGATGATGGAATATTTGATGACAGTTTTATTGAGGAAAGGAAGCAAGGGCTGGAGCAGTTTATAAACAAGTAAGTGCTTTCTGTTCCTTAAGGTGTAAGAGTGAAAGGTGTTTTCAGACTACTGAAGGTGACTACTGGTCATTTAGATGCTAAGTTAATATCGGAAATACTGACATGCCTTTTGACAACTTCCCTTTTTTTGTTGGGGGAAGGTGGGGAAGTTGTAGGGCTCATACTCTCACCATAGGCAGACCTTGCCAGAAACAGATGAGGGTTGGGGAGTGAGAAAGCACCCTGAAGGTGACAGGGGAGGCCATGCCATAATGCCATAATCCTTGATTCCCCATTCTCATCTTGGGATTTTGGGCACACATGCATTCAAGCCCAGCATGTTTTTGACACAGCCAGGTCTGGAACTCAAATTGTGTACTGGACCATATGAGATCCAGCCACCTCAACTGCCATACCACTGCTGGCCCATCACTTCTTAACTTTGTGTAACATTTAGAAAGTAAAACTACTGGGGGGAGATAGGGAGGGAGAGACTCAGGAAAAGAAACAAACATTTAACAGACACAAAAATAGAAAGTTGTCTGGTAGGGCTGATAAGTATGGTAATATCTTTGACTTGGCTTGACATGCAATGCATGTATGCTTTGAAAAATCATATTGTATGCTGTAAAGATGTACAATGATTAAATGTAAATATAAAAAATATGTATAATAAAAAAGTATAGGTATCTTACAAGTTGAATATCATGTGATAAATATTAACTCACTTGAATGATTGAAATGAACATCTTTGTGTTGACCTAAGTTTTGTATTTGTTTTTCTTGGTTAATTTATGCAAATTACATTTAAAATTACAGCACTTAAAAATTCAGTTTTACTTATGATTCTTTCTGATGTAAGGTATGTTCTAGTATGAACAATAAAACTTACAATACACTTGAAATCATTTTGTTTGATTGCAGATGGAGGCATTATCAGCATGTCTTGTGTAAAGGTGTACATTTTTAATTTTTATAACAAAATATTCTTTTGAAAATGTAAGAAAACTTAGGGTTGTTTGTCTTTTACTTTAGAAACTCTTGTTGAGCTCGAACCAATATTTCCAGGTTTTCATTTTATTCCCATTTAAAGTATAGCTATTTTAAAAAGCCAACATAATGGGAAGAGTTGTAAAAGCCAAAGTAATGGGAAGAGTTATGCCAAGAAAGGGCTCCCTATAATTGCTCATTGGCCTTAAGTTTGATCCAGTGAAGTTAAATCCCAGAGAATATGGTTGTATAAGTTTACCTTTAACTTTTATCTAGTAATTTGAGGCGCTTTCAGTGGTAAACCACAGAAAAAGGGTTACACAAAACTTTTAACCCTTAGTTATCTACCATAGCATACAACCTTCATTTGGTTTTTATTAACATATTTTCCTTTTGGAGAAGGCATTATTATGTTAGATTTTTTAAACTCTGACATAGAAATCTGGTTGCCAAATCTGGTTTTATGTTTAGCCTGTGATGGGAACCTTGAAAGACAAGCAAAAAAAAAAGGGGGGGGGCAAAATAGAAACCTAGATATTTGTGCTTGTTTCTTAGTATTTGGAACTTCTGTTGAACTTCAGTGCATATATTCTCCTCTTTAAATGGATTCTTAGAATCCATTAATGTGTTTCACTTTTAACACTGAAGTTTAAGTTTCTTATGAATGTACCAAATGATTTGTTAAGTTAATTGATACATGTGTCAAAAGCAGTACAGTTAATCTGCAATTTAATGTTTTCTAAATTACTTTGTAAATCCTAGGGAAAAAAATATACAAGTAGTTGGTAGAATGTAGCTTTATGAGCAGTCCAGAATAATACTTACTATTAGTAAATTGTACATGCTTCCTAACCTTTAAATATATGCATTTTGGAGGCCAACAGGTGATGTGGGGTTAAAGGTATCAGATCCCACACAGCCGACTCACAGTTCAAGTCCTGGACCCAGCGGCTTGAAAAATATATCAGGTTTTTTGACCCATCCCACTTTCCCCACTGTTATAAAACATTGTACTGAATTTTTATTTTTCCCCCCTAGGGTCGCTGGTCATCCTCTGGCACAAAATGAACGTTGTCTTCACATGTTTTTACAGGATGAAATAATAGATAAAAGCTATACTCCATCTAAAATAAGACATGCCTGAAGTTTGGCGAGAAGGGGCAAAACCATGACTATTAAGTGATTCATATGCACCAGTGAAGAAGTCCTAACTAACTTTCAGCATGCTGCACAGAAGCTGGTATAACCTGCCTTCAGTATACTAACACTCATATGCTCAGTTTTGTTTTGTTCTGGCAGTTGGCAAGAAGTTAATTTGCTTTGGTGAAAATTCCTCATTCCAGCTTTTCTATATAATAGCTCTCTCTGCTGTTTTAATGTGGTGCACACTATAGCCTCGCAAACCTGTCACTCCAATATAATCTGCAGTGTTCTCACTAAAGTTACTGACTTGCTCTTATTTGCAGTTTTTGTGTCATGTTTGCTTCTTGAATCTGATGAACTAGAATATTTCTCTTTCCCCCTTTTACTGTGTGACATCACTTGACCTAATTTGTGTGTAGGAGCACTACACCATTGGTTTCCAGGACCGCACACGTCGGAATACACACTTGTGTGCAGAAAATGTCTTCCTTTAGGTTTGTACTACCCTTCACAGGGAAGATTAATGAGGGAAATCTTTATATTCTGTATAAAAACAAAATCAAATTTATATACTAAAATCATTTGTCTAAAAATTTACGTTGTTTTCAAATAAAAATTAAAAATGCATTTCTGATATGCGCTGATTGTGTTGCTTCCAGCTTTTCTTTTCTCCCTATGGCTTAACTACTTAACTCACTTGTTGAGAGGGATTATTTACTAATTATATACTTCTCATTCCTGTAACTCCACTCCTCTTTAAACAGTGGTGATATCAAATATGCTACCACCCTTTGAATGAGGTATTTTCTTTGAAACAACACAAAAAGCGATGTACCTAAAAAAGCATTCCTTAAGGCTTGAGTCGTTACGAAGCACTTTGTGTATTTGAAAAATGCTTTATAATCTCAAGTCATTCTTTAAAAGGCCTTTTAAGATAAGTCAATTCCATACCTCCTCTTTTTCAGAATTTTTTCTTAATCATCTGAGTGACTTGTTTTAACAGATTTAGCAAGGGTATAATAACTCTTTTCTTAGTCAGCAGATGCATGCTCTCTCTTTAATTTGGCTTGGGATGGTGGCCCCACTTCATCCTCTGAAAGTACGGAAGAAGAGCACAATGTTCTCAACGTGTTGCATAAACAAAAAACCAGAAAATACATGACTTCTTGCCACCTAACTTGTTTCATCCAAACCTTTGCAGGCAGAATGTGGTCTCTAGTTTTCAATCTCCACAACCTCTGATGGTATGGGGAACCATTGTGACCTGGAATTAAATCCCAAGGTAGGAGAGTTTGTCCTCCCATCCCAGAGGCAGCTCCTGTAGACAGGTCAGTCCCTTTGAGAGGAAACAAGCCTAAGTTGCAGCTAAATTAGACTGTCCACCCAGCAGATAGGAACTCATAGGAAGAAGTCAAGGGTTGCCATATGAGACCTGTTTTTATTTTATTTGAGTTTGGTTTTATTTATTTTTATTCATGATAGTGCACATGTGTGTGCCCATAAGAGTAAGAGAGAAGGATGGACAGAGAGGTGAGTACCCTCTGCAATATCTGGTCACATCGTGATCCCCTTCCTGCAGCCTATAGGGTTTGAAGCACTTGCATGTATGCTTGGTGTGTTTCAGGCTGATCAGGCCAAGCACTCAGACCAGTTGTCAAGTGAGATTCAGCCTCTCCTGAGTAGTGCTTTTCCACTGGATCCAGCCCCCCTCTATAGCCTTTTGTTACTCTAGAAATAATTCACAGTCCTATAATACTGATTGATTCACTCACTATAAAGTAAGAAGATACAAAGCTAAACAATGTATAAGTTTTATTTCAGTGAGCTAGAGAAAGAAAAGGCTTGGCAGTTTTTGGTATACAGAAGAGAATAAATGGTAGCTCTGTTAAACTAGATTAATTTCGCTAAAATAGTAATTTTCAACCAGGGAAGATTTCCCCCCCCCCGCCCCCCAGCAGACATTTGTCAGTATCTGGAGATAATTTTTGGTTGCTAGAGCTGGAGAATGTTGCTATAAACTTTATGAAAGTTAAAGATGCTGCTAAACCTCCTATAATGCATAAGGACACCCTTCCACAACAGGACAGTGTCAGTAGTGCCAGTTTCCACTCACCATGGAGTTCTTTTGATTTTGACCATTTATAGACAAGAGGACAGTGTAGTTTAGGATGGTTGAAATGGCCTCCTTACTTTTCTTCACTTTGCTAGCAGGCACACTTGCTTACCAGAGAGACACAGAAAGCTTCCTATCCTGAGGTTCTGCCATCATAACCTTCTATGACCTGAAAAGAGGGGGTAATGGGTAAGAAGCATCTCATTATTACATACTATGGCTTCTCAGTATGGGCTTCTTATGGGCCACTGTAGATTAAAAATTCTTTTCCTATTGCCTCAGGTTGCTTGTTTAGGTTAAAGGAATGGAGTCAGTATGCCCAATGAAAAGAAGCCGCTGGCCCATAAACCTTTACAGATAAAGTGTTTGAAGTATGGATGGACAGGTAGTTCTACACAGTGCCTAATATAGATTAAATACTCAGTTGATGTTAGCAGCGATTATTAACAGTATGCAAGCATTTGGACTTGGAACAGAGTTAGAAACTTCCAGGAAGACAGTGTGAGGCATCTTCAGTATTTCCACTGTAATCTCTGTCACAGAACTTCCTGATGAAATTGGTAATATTCTCCTTTACAGATGAGAAAACAGGTTTTGAAAGCTTGAATAACATGCTCAATGTTAACCCAGGATGGGATGGCACTGGTTTAAACTGTAAAGGTGTCTGACTCTGGAACCAGCAGATGGTATAGCAGTTAACATCACTGGACTCCCATGTAGTCAACTGTGGTTTGAGTCCTGGACCCAGTGGCTTAAAACTCATGCCAGGCAGATGTGTATGTGTCCCCAAAACCCCTAGAGGAGAATGGAAAAGAGGGGATTGCGGCGTGGCCATCCCCCTTGTGGGGTGATTTCTCGCTTTCTGTCTTTCTGGTGAGCGCTCACACCCTATAGCAAAAATCTCTCTTTAAAAAAAAAAAAAAAAGATGTCTAACTCTAAAGACCATGCTTTGGCATACATCCTGGGTGTGGACATGACCTGTGACTTTCAGTACAGTTATTGAATGAATTAAAGAGTGAACGTTCAGTGACATTTCTTATGCCCACCTAGGGTGAACATGAATGAATGAACAAATAGATCTGATTTGGTTTCTTTAGTTTTGACTTTAAGTTTGGGTGCAAGTAGCTCTTTTGGACATGAGCTTATTTATAGAAGTATCCAATTTTCCTAAATGTACCTATATATCACAGTTAACTCTCCAATACTGACTCTGAAATTGTTTCATTTAGAGATTCCCAGGTAATTTTGAAACAGACAAGTTTGGGTACTTAGCTATTTGATTTCCTGGAATTTGTACAGATTTGATCTTACCTGGCTACTTAAGTCATTACAAAAAGTAATCAAGAGGGACCAGCAGTTGGCATAATGTTTACATCACTGAACTCCCGCATGGCTGATCACAGTTCAAGTTCCAAACCCAGAGATGAAACACGTCAGGTGCATGTGCATGAGCATGCGTGCCCAAAATTCTGAGAGGAGAATGGAGGAGAAGGGATTATGGTGTGGCCATCGCCCCCTAGAAGGTGATTTCTTGCTACCTTCCTCTGCCTCTCCAGTGAGCGCATGCACCCTATAGCAAGTATCTCTCTTTAAAAGAAAAAAAAAAAAAAAAAGGAGATTAAGAAAAAGGATTTGGGGCTTGAGAAATTCTCTTTTTCTGTAATTGCTGGAGCCCCCATGGGTTATGGTCATTGAAATTCTTTTTCCTCCATTTTTTCATCCCATCAAGATTTGGGGCGTGCATGCTCATGTTCCTGGTGTGTGTTTGGGCGACTGGGCCATGATTTGAACCACAGTTGGCCATGTAGGATCTGGCTGCGCCAAAGCACTGGTACAGGGCTGGCCTGAGAAATAGCTTTTGTGGCTCTTGCTTTACAGTACATGCAGTTAGCTGCCTTTCAGCCTTGTTAAGAAAATAAGACCTTGACTTAGTGGCCAGGAAAATTAATTCAGAAGCTAAAAGGAACTCTAGAGGATGCTGGGTAACATATCATCATAGATGCTTGTTACTGTCAGTGCCATAAATGCAAATGAGCCAGTAAACACAAGCAACATTAAACACTTTATATATGCAAAGTGCTAACAGAGAGGGAGAGCTCAACGTTACCCTTTACTTTTTTTCAAGTTTTTTGCCATAGAGTGTGTGAGCTTGCTGGAGAGAGACAGAGAGAGGCAGAGTGATAAATCACCCTCTATTGAAGATAGCCATGCCGCAATCCCTTCTCCTCTTGGAAATTTGGGCACATATGCATGTGAGCCCAGTTTGAGTTTCAAAAACTGCATTGAGCCAGCACCTTACCACCCTACCACCTGCTGATGCCAACTACTTTTCTTAAACCCAGTCTTGTTTGGACACTCATGAAAAGACTTCACTGAACCAGCCGATGGCATGGTGGTTAAGGTGACTGGATTTCACATGGCCAGTTGCACCTTTGGAGTCCTGGACCTGGTGGCTTGAAAACATGGCTGTATGTGTGTGTACATGCCTAAATCCTGAGAGGAGAAGCAATTGCGGCATGACCATCCCCTTAAGGAATGATCTCTCTCATTCCCTTCTCTCTTTCCAGCGAGTGCACATGCCCTATGGTAAAGACTAAAAACAGGAGGAAAAAGAAGACTAATAGTACAGTCAGACAGTCAATAGAGTAAATGTGAGGACAAAAGGGGACATGAGAAGGAGGGATGCAGATGGTGATACAGCAGTATTACAATGCTCTGCCAGGCTGATGCACATGGGAAGGTTCTGGGTTTGTATCTGGAGACCTCCTTGAACACCATGGGGCATGCATGCCCATTGATTCAGGACTGGCTGAAGTTGAGAATTGTGGCATCAAGACTATTAGAAGTGCTCTTTTTCTTTGTCTCACTCACGGAAGGAAGAAACTTTAAGAATTTCAGGAACCTCACCAGATTCAGTGAAGATTGAGAAAACCTGTGGCTTTTGGAAAGGATGAATAAGCATTGTGAAAGAACCCAGAACCTTTTTTTTTTTATCATAAGGGGCTGCTGCTCTCCAGGGTGAAAGATTGCCAAAACCTTTACCCAGTGAGGGAAGGGCATTCTTCCCACTTCAGGCCTCCTCTAACCATCCTGACTTAAACCTGAAGAGAATAAATGTAGTCAAAAGGGATTAAGACTTCAAGAAGATAGATGGAATTGCTGCAGCAAGGGGTGGGGTGTCAGAGGGGTAAGTTGTACCACTGAAGAAACACTTGAGATCAAGACCTGCTAACTCTGAGATTTAATCTAGAGATATAGAACACCCCCTTCCTCACACCACTGCA